ATAAATATAGCAACGTTGGCGGTTCCTTTCTTTTCTCTTTTACAAAAATGATTTAATATTTTCCTCAAGCATAAACACCTACGTTGTGCATGTTGCATAATGTGACGGTGAGTGAAAGTTCAAATGGTACACTGGTAAGAGGGGCAGAGCTACTTGTGTTCTAAGGGCCAAAGGGGCTATGCTCCCTTCATTTTATTTATTTATTTATTTTTAAATTTTCTTAATTCTACATGCAATTTCATTTAGAAGAGTAATTTTAAAACTTAATTCTCTATTTAATGGTATTTGGCTCATTTACTTACCCTAACTAAAGTGGTCAACCTTCGCCCAGCTACAATGGCAGGAATTTGACTTGATTCTCCATCTTAAATATGCCATTTGCTTTGGGTCTTTGACTATTTTAAAACTTTAATATCGAGCCCAACACAACCCAATATCACTTGTTTACGTAGTACCATGGAGGTGGCGGGCCGCAGCCTATTATTTTTCCACTACTTTTTTTGCGTTTCTAGCAACCTATGCCCCAGCATGGAAGAAAAAGCTTCATAGTGCACTTACATCACTTACATTTTACGCGAACATAAAGTAATTCATTGTTTGTCAGCTGGCACCTTCAAAACCACACCTAACATATTTATTCCCTCTTTATTCTTCCACGCTTTCATTTCCAGCGTGGGAGAAATAGAAGGTATAGTCTATATTAGAAAATTAGAGAGAGATGTATATATGTTTGTTTTATATTTTAAAATAAAGTAATCGAAACACACTTCTTTGATCGATGTGGACGAGAATCCCTTGGAAGGTTTTTATTCTCTAATCTGATGAGCATAAGCGTAGCTTAGTGACTTTCTCTAAGTTGATTCCGTAGCAAAAACGGCAAAACCAAGTCTTTGGTGTGTGACAAGCACATTTTGTGACACTTAGGGTTGTTTGTTTGGTGTAATGTATAAGTCTTGATAATATAAGTTTATAAGTTCATTTTTTTTACAGTCAATGTAGATAACTTATTTACATTGAGTCCAAAACGACGTCGTTTTGAAGTAGAAATTAAGGTATTTTTGTAATTATAATTTATTTCAGGATTATAATAATTTTTTTCATTATAATTTTTTATTCAACCCAAAATGATGTTATTTTGGGAATGAATGTAGATAGTTTATCTACATTCACTTTAGAAACATTAAAGCCTAAGTTTATACTATACATTATAATATTTTTAATTGTTTGGTGTGACTATCATATAGTATAAACTTATATAGCATAATCTCTTAATACATCAAAATGATGTATAACTTAATCAAGTCTATGTAGGTGAGATTAGGCCTAATAAGGAATTAATGTGTAAACATCGCTAATTGGTGTAATTCTCAAGAATTAATATATTATTTTAATATTAATATATTAAAATAAAAAATAATTTTTCAATATATTAATTTTAGAATATTGTAGATTTTTATTTTTATAAAAATTAATATATATTTTGGATATGCTGATCAATAGATTTTTATAAAAATTAATATCATATGACGTATTTAAAAAAATTATGTAAATTCTTTATTAAACGATATTTTTGTTTAAAATAATTATTTTTATTCTTTCTAGTGTTATTTAGTACATTACCAAATATTGGATCATGTTATCTTATATAACGTATTATCTTGTATAATATCATGTCAAAGACTGAATAATATTAAAATCTAATCAAATCTTATACTATACACCAAATATAGCCTTAGCGCCAATTGATAAATCAATGGAAACTTTACACAAAGAATTAATACAAACATCTCTCTCTTTATTTTTTTTATACAAGCCGAAAAAACAAAACAAACAACTAACTGGAAAAAACAAAAACAAGCAACTCACTGGAAACCAATCTGAGAAAATTAGGGTGCGCATGATAACCTTCCCGGAATTAATTCTTTTTTAATTTCTATTCCCGGGAACATAAATGGATAGGAAACTAGTTTGGTAAAACCGGTTTATTTTTTTGTTCCCGGGATGAACTGGTTTAATTTTTGTGCTAGAGAATAGAAAAAAGAATAAAAAAATTTCTGCTTTTTTGCTCCCGGGCTCAAAATGAGAAACACTTATCTCTCTCAATCACTCTCCACTTCTACCATGATCACCACCACCACCATCATCTCGACACGACTTTCGCCACCATCGACGCCGCCGTCATCGTACCACTAGTGCCGCCGTCACCACCCCTCACCACCACGATGTCACCGCCACCACCACTACCACCATGCCACCACCACCACAACTACCATCGCCGCCACCACCACCATTATCACCGCCATCAACCGCCACCACCATCATCGCAACCATTGCCGTCACTGCCAGTGCCACCACCCTCATCGCCATTACTACCACCACCATGACGCCGCCACTACCATCACTACCACTACTATTGCCGCAACCACTACCGTCTTCACCACCGTCGCCACCACCATTATCACCGCCATCGTTGCAGCCACTGCCGTCACAACCACCACCACTATCTTCACCATGTCACTGCCACCACCACTACCGTACCGCCGCCGCTACCACCACAACCACACCATATGGAAAGGAAAGAGTTGATCCGAAATTTTTTTATATTTAATAGGAATTACTTTTTATTATATTATTTGTTGTGTTATCAAAGACAATTCTCATTCTCGGAATAAAAATGAAACATGTTATCAAATACATTTTTTTCTCAGAAACTGTTCCAAGGCACAGAAATAGAAAAGAATTGTTTCTTTTCAGAAACAGTGTTCGGAAATAGAATGATTGTCATGCACACCCTTATTATTATTGCTGCTGAACCGTTAACGTATTAGAAAAAAATACAAGCATATCTTGTATATAATCTAATTGATTTGTTAAATTGATCATTTTTATTATTTTTAAAATATGCTAACAAACAAAGAATTTAAATTTGTAACATGTTGCTTATATATATATATATATATATATATATATATATATATATATATATATATAATTTAAACACACAACAAGCATTAACTTTTTTTTTTTTTTTGAAATATTCCAATTGATTCATCATTTCGCGATTAGTCCGATTCATGGTGAGTCCCGGGATTAAGTTTTAAATTCCTTTCAAAGGCGATATTGAAAATAATCGAATACATGCTCTCACACTCACCAACTCAGTTTCCTGACATCAACTGAACTACCATCATTTAGTTTACCAGATTCTAAATTATAAATAAATACAGAGTAAATTTTTTAAAAAATATCTACATCATAACATATTACAAACTAATTAAATTCTCTGAGTCTTTTAACTTACTGACGGTGGAGCAAGGGGGAAATACCCCCTTTACTTTTGAAAAAGACTACTAACATTTCTCAATTATGCAGAACATCACCTATTTTGTTGATATAAGAATTATTTGTTATCATTTTCTCTAATTTTATTAAATGGTACTATTATTTGAATTAGTTCAAAAAATATAAAAATATAATGAAAATATATAAATGAAGTGAAATTAAATAGAAAATACATTTAAACATAATAAAGTTGATTTTATTGTCTAGTCAATTTGAAATAACAATGTCTATCCAAATATCAATATATAATAAATAAATGAGATAAGAAGAATAGAATTAAGATATAAAAATGAAATATAAAGTAAATTTAAACTGGATGGAATTATTTTATTTTATAATCAATCTCAAATAGATTTAATAATTATATAAATGTTAATATTCTATAAATAAATAATAAAATTTTAAAATTTGATAAAAGTTAAACTTAAATAAAAAAAAATAAAAAAATACTTAAGTGAAGTGATTTTGATTTTTATAACAAAATTTTTCAAAATTTATATATCACATTATTTTGTAGTGTAAATATTTTAATTTATATTATAATATTTTATATCATGTTATATTGTATTATGTTGTTTTTATTTTATATTATGTTATAAGCTGTGATAAAATATTTGTCACACATTTTTTTCTGGATTAGAAACAGTATTAAGATCTTACATATATATATTACACGCACACATATATATAGGAGAGTATAATAGTTTATTATTATTATTGTTATTAATTATCTCAAAAAGAAACATTATAATTAGGGTTATAGGTATGAAAAAATAAAAATAAATGAACGGAATCGAAGCATAAACCTATTCAAACCATACTAAAAAAAGTATATTTTCTTACACCGAAAAAAAAGAGTATATTTTTTCAAATCGATCATTTTCTTTGAACTGATTTAAGGACTGAACTGATTTTTTTTAGAACCAAATCACTTTACTAATTCGGTTCATTTTGAACTAAAAATCAGATCAAATTAAATTATATCCATTTTTAAAATGTAAAAAAGTTAAATTAACCGAATCAAATTGCTAACTAAACTGAACCATACTATATTTTTTTCAGATTAAGAATTAAATTATTTTTTCAAATAACTTTTTGAAACCAATTTGATTTGTCTGAACCGAATCATTTTTTTTTATTAATTCGGTATATAAAACCGAACCAAGCAGATTTTGACGATGGTTAAGCTGTTAGATGCTGCTCTAAATATTTCCTTTGCCGTCATGCCGTGCCACTAGTTCGCTGGTTTTCTTATCCTTTCACCCAATATACCAAAGAAAATCTATATAGCTGGTTTTCTTACATTTAATCAAATCTACAAGACAAATTAATAATACTAATATGATTTGAAGAGGTCAAGCTCTGAATAAATTTCATCAACAATTCAGATAATTCAGCCAGGTACATATTTTGGATAACAATATACTTCAAAAATTAAAACAGAGACCACCTTTGTTTGTTTCGATTTTTTATTTTTTAAATAATTACTATCGATTATCTCATTCGTTCCTTCATATAGTATATTTTCCCGAAGAAAAAACTACCCAATGAGAGAAGCAAATGGCCAAAACCGCGTCGTTTTCGATGGACTCCAATCACAATGACAAAGATAATCAAAGGGCTAATAATTGAGTTGAGTCACAGTCGCAGTCTCAGTATTGTAGATCATTCAGAAACTAGAAATAAAACCCTTTTTCCCAATTCAACGCTCGACCGGTGCTGACGTACTCACTTTCCCTCTTCCCTTCTTTCTTTTCTCTCCTTTTCCAATTTAGATCTTAACCTTGTTCTTCCTCATCTCCTTTGGTATTTCCTTTTTTCCCTTTATTTATTTGTCTATTTACCCCTTCGCGATTTATTATTATTGTTATTATGTGGATAAAGTCATATAAATATATATGTAATTATATTTTTAATAGTTGAATTTCCATTGTTGTGATTGTAATTAATGACTGATGCTCACAGAGAAAAAGCATCGGGGGGATAGGATTGTTGTGTTGTGGTGTTGTTCATTTCAATGGCTGCTCCACCTGCTAGAGCTCGTGCAGATTACGATTACCTAATAAAGCTTCTCCTCATCGGCGATAGCGGTACGATTTGATCCACTTCATCATGCTTCTTCAACTATCATGTTAATTTCTGATTCCTTTTTTCCATTTTTATTTTTCTTTTATTCTTAAAATTTCTCCTGATCTCGGATATGAGAATCATCGCCGCATTATTCGCTACCTGATTTGTCCATTGACCGTGCCATTTTACTCGCTTTTGTGGATTTTCAGCGATTTGTGAAAGTGAATGCCAAGATTCGTAGGGTTTCCAAGCACTAGTAGATTCGTCTTTGTTTTTGCGTTTGAATTGCTTGTGTCACTGTCACCGATTTGCTAGACGGTTTGATGTTACCCGTCCGAGGACTAGGTTTAGGAGCTCTTGAAATTCATATCTTTTGCATCCATCTATTTAATTTTAGCTCATCATATGTATTTTATTTTATTTTATAGCGTAAACTGTCATGCAAGTGATCACAGCATTTTTTTTGTAATGAATGGGGGTGATTTCTAATTGGCATTAAAATTAGCACTAGTTACATGTTGTCATGTTTACTGAATTGGCAACTATCAATATTGATGGTCTTGGAGGGAGAATTTTAGTTTCTTTTCTGTTTTTTGTTTTATTGTTTTTCCCCTCCTTGTTGGCTTTATTAATTTTTGGTGAATTTACGTTGTAGATTGTATTTTGGATCTCATTACGTTTTTCATATTGGCAGGTGTTGGTAAAAGTTGCCTTCTATTGCGATTCTCGGATGGATCTTTTACAACTAGTTTTATCACAACCATTGGGTAGGCATCTCTTGTTTGATCCATATTCTTCATTTTCTTTTTCTTCTTCTTCATTGTCTCTGTCTGTTATGCGAAGATGGCTCTGAGCTTACCAGAATGGTTCCCCCCCCCCCCCTCTTCTGCAGCATTGATTTCAAAATAAGGACTATAGAGCTTGATGGCAAACGAATCAAATTGCAAATATGGGATACAGCTGGCCAAGAGCGGTTCCGAACTATTACAACTGGTTAGTGTATCAGATTGAAAGTTATTTTAGGCACAACTAGAGGTCTATATTTTTATTTTTATTTTGGTACAGAGGTCTAGAATGTTTTGGTGCAAGCTCTGTTGTGATTTTTCACTACAACTTTTAACATTTCTATGTGTAAATTTTACTTGTCATGATGGTAATATCAAATTATGGCTATTTACCTATTTATCTTTCCGTTTGTTCCTTCAAATTGGATAAGAAATAATCTAGACTTGATATATTTTCATGTCCTGAACAACATTCATTGAAGATTATATCTAGAGGAACTGTATTCTCTTTTGATGTGCATGTGCAGAACTGTATGTAGGTTATTGGTGATTGAGGAAAAAAATTTCCCTTCTTAAATTTGCTAAACCATTTTAGCGTAAACTAGGCAGCTTTGACATGATTGGTAATACTTTCAGTTGCCAATTTAAATGTCTTATGTACTTTCAAATTTTGCCATTCTCTTGAAGAGGGTGTTAAAGCCTTAAAGGATGATCACTAGATGTGATTTTATGGTCTTCAGTTGCTTCCAAAATTGCTTTCTGTATTGAGATGACATGCTTTGTTTATTTGAATGTATGGGCAGAATGTTGGTTTTGAGATGGCCTTAAAAATTTCTGGGTATCATTAGACTTACCAAATATTTGGATTTTTGTCCTTGTCCCCGCTGTCTATGACCTTATTCGTTACAAACATCAACTCCTTTATTTTTTTATTTTATTTTTTTTGGGTTTAAGTTTAGGGTTAGCACTTTTTATGAATGTAATAGTATATTGTAGAATGTTGCTTTGTCTTTCAAATTTATATATCGATTAGCTTCTGCTACCCTTTCAAATATAGAATTTGTTAAGTTTCTGTCACAAGTATCAATCTTTCTTTTGCAGCTTATTACCGTGGAGCCATGGGTATTTTGCTTGTATATGATGTGACTGACGAGTCTTCTTTTAACAGTAATTTCTCCTTCCTCCTTAAGATTTTAAGATATATGTGCCTCTTTTATTATTTCCTCCACATGCTGAATCTACTCAACTGTGTGTTTCCTTAATACTTTATGCCTTAGTAGAACATCAGTTCTTTTCAGTTAACTCAATTCTTCAACTGTTCAACTTGACAATTTGGGGTGCTTCCAGGACTTGCAATGAGTTTTTTTCTTGTACATGGGAATTAGGCTTATTTCATCTTGTGTCCAGATCTTGTAATTGCAGTGAGTTATACTTTTTCGTACATAACAATTAGGCTTATATCATCTTATGTCCAGACATTAGGAATTGGATTCGTAACATTGAGCAGCATGCTTCTGACAATGTCAACAAGATACTGGTGGGCAACAAGGCTGACATGGATGAAAGCAAACGGGTATGTTCTCTCTCACTGTCACTCTTACTCTTGCCATCTTTTTTGGGTGCGCTTGTACACGATGTGCATATATATGATTTTTTATGCTGTGCATATGTCCAACAACGTTCTCCTTAGGCTGTGCCAACTTCTAAAGGTCAAGCTCTTGCAGATGAATATGGCATCAAGTTTTTTGAGACTGTAAGTAGCTCTCATTGCTCTTATTGAAATTGCACGCATAAGTTGCTGATTTGTTATTACTGAGAGTATGATGGCTGTACAGAGTGCAAAAACAAATTTAAACGTGGAGGATGTTTTCTTTTCAATAGCTCGGGACATCAAGCAAAGACTTGCAGATACTGACTCAAAATCTGAGGTTTTGTTTTGGACTTTCTTACTACTTATGATAGGTTGTCATCATCAATCATAGGGCTTCATCTCTAAAAATAGGTGTTTTTTATGGCTGGCTCGCTACGCCTGACACCAACCCTCCTCCTTTATTCTGGCTTGGGACAGGCCTTGCATGCAATAAAAGAATAGTCATAAGTTGTCTTATGACTATTTTTTGAATCCTTTTCTGATTGCCTTCTATTTGATTAAATGCAATGCAATACTTCATGGATTTATTTGATTTCATTTTTAGACCATTGTTGGCTTGCATGTTAAGTTTAACTAAAAAGCCCTTGCTGAATTGGATTTTCTCTTCAGTTCTCCACTAAGTTTCCATTTCGTTCTTTGCAGCCCCAGACAATCAAGATTAACCAACCAGACCAGGGAGCTGGGGCTGCGCAGGCCGCCCAAAAATCTGCTTGCTGTGGTTCTTAATGGGAAGCTCGGAGGGCATACATTTGACTGAGAAATTTAATTTTGTTAATGACTATGTCATTAGTGCCTGTATGATTCTTATTATTTTACAGCTGCTACTCATTGGGTGTGAATGGAAGATCTTCTCTATGTTGGGAAATTAATTATGTCAATTTATTGTTGCTTAAATTCAATCCTTTTTCAGGAGCTTGGTTATGCACATCGTGCTCATCTTGAAACCAAGGCTCAAAGCAGGAGCCAGAGTTCACGGTTGGCTGATGGCGTGGTTCATGGTTATGGTACTCCCATATTTTTGGATCATTGCATCACTATGAATCGAAAGGTGTAGACATAACGATGCCATCCACTTTATGTACTTTGAAGTTCTTCCAGGGGAAAAGAAAGCTAAATACACATTAATTTAAAGGGTTTAAAACAAAACGTGAATGGAGAACTTAACTTCTCCTGCTATAGACCTAATGAAATTCGAGCTGCATTAATTTATTTTTTCAAGTTTTTTGTAGTCGTGGGTCCCCTGGAATTTTGTGTCCGCGGCAAAAACTGAACTTCTCCATTCACAGGAGAAGTTTTAAACCCAAATTTAAAACACACATATCTATCATTTGCTTCTGAGAGTTAGCAGAAAATGAGATGAATTCAGTTATAATTGGATGATTAAAACCGTAATGAAATCTGTCCAGATGAAGCTAATGTGTGCAAGTATGGGGAGCATTTTTACCTCTTGAGTATTAGTTGATGCATGAGCTTAACTTGAGTATAGTGGGTTGCATTAGCTTTGTTCTAGTAGGCTATAATTCAAAATTAACAATTTAGTTTGCTACAAACGCCTTAAAACACTCAGCGTTACTGGCTGAAAGATAACTAAGCAGTGCAAGTAAGAATGGACCAAAATCTTGTTGGATATGCTATAACGTGTGGTAGCTAGACGCTACAGTTCCTGTTGTATCACGGCAACGCTATCGTATGCTAGGCCTACATGGTCAATTATGTGCAACGATTCGCCTTGATAATATAACCAATGTTGCATTGTGAGAAATAAAATATTTATTAATAATTTCTCAGTATTTTGATACTATTTCTGTCTTTTTTTTTTTTTTTTTTGCAAAGAGAATTTCTTAAGAGAATTTCTCAGTATTTTATTAAAATATTTATTAAGGGAATTTCTCAGTATTTTAATGCTTATGCTTTGCACTGTATACTGTATACTGGTTTGATCACCCAGTTTTTATTTTTATTTTGTCTTTTTTATTGAGAAAGTCCAACTTTCAAAAGTGATGACGATGAAATTACTCCTATAAAAAGTACAGTGCGATGCTGATAATATATGCGGTCTGACAAAAATAGGAAATGATTTTTGTTTCTAATTTTAAAAATTTCAAATCCACGTTCATTTCTTGGTAAAAAGGTCAGAAGTTTACTTGTAATGCATTCATTCGTGCTTTTAACAAATGTAGTATCACATAATTGTTAACACAGCAGGGCAAGCAGAGAGGCATATTCCTCCATTGAACGTCTTAATTCATCGTACAAATTGTCGCTTTAAGCATCCACTTTTCATCATACAATATCTGCTAACACGTTTTTCCTTTTCTTTTTTCTTTCATTCTCATCATCATCTTGATATGCAATGACAATAGTTTTTCTCTTTCACCTACTGTTAACCAACCTACCTGTCCAGAAGTTAAACATCACACACACAGGCAGTATATAACTACACTGATTGCATTCTCAGAGTGAGGTGCTACGGAAGAGAAGAAGGAAGTAGAGGAGACACTGCTTCACAAAACGACAAATTGGATTAAAACTATCTACTAACATGGTGCACAACCTTTAAGGCATATCCACTTCAAGACAAGGACATGCGCAAAGACAACCCACCATTAAATGGACTCTTATAAAAAAAGTAATAAAAGCGAGAGAGAAAAGTTGGGTTGGATAAACCGCGTACAGGCCATCAATATCGCAATCACATGAAAAATTATTGCTGATTTGGGTACAAGGGATCAAATACGAGACACCCTCGTCTCGCTTACCATAATAACAACGGACATCACACATCAGCTATCCGTAGGGTACTGAAAGGAAAGCAACATTCCATTTCAAGATGGGTTGGGACGTCGGGTGGCTAGCCATGCCGGTAGCTATGTAGCTTGGGTAAGGGTAACTAACTAGGTAAGGTATGTAACTAGGCAACGGGTGGAGCTAGAAAGTTTAATGAGAGGGGAACAAAATAAAAAATAAAATTCACACTAACCTAATTAGGAGAACACGATAATGAGTGGATAGGTAGCCAAATTTGAGACAATCTCCGGTTTTCTTTTATATATAAGGAATAATCAGGACGAAAGGGTGCAAACTTATTCTACACTAACTTTCTTTTAAATTTAAATATAGTTTAAAATAAAGATTGAGTAAAATTGAAGGAGGCATCATCCCTCCAAGGCTCTCCGAGCTCCACCACCGTAACTAGGTAGGTTGGCACTATTAGAAAAAACCATATTTTTGACGTAAAAATTCCATTGAAAATGGTGAAAATTTTGTCAAAAAAAAAAAGAGTTTTCGACAAAATTCAAGCCGTCGAATTTTTTTCCATCAATAACAATTTTTTTGACGGAATTCGAGATTTTGTCAAAAAAATTCAATGAAAATAATTTTCGTCGAAAGATTGATTATTTCGTCAAAAAATAACAGCCACAAATACTCTTTATTTAATGAATTACGTTGAAATTTTTTGACGAAAAACAGATTCTGTAGAAATTTTTCGAGAAAAAATCTTTGAAATTTCGTTGAAACTGTTTTAAAGGTTTACCAAGGAAAATGGATTCCATAAAATTTTTCGACGAAGAACGAATTAAATTCCGTCGAAAACTATGGTAATGATTTTTGAGGGAAAATGGAGTTTGTCAAAAAATTTCGACAAAAAATGAATGAAATTTCGTCAAAAAATGTTGTAAAGATTTTCGACGGAAAATGAATGAAATTTCGTCGAAAAATGTTGTAAAGATTTTCGACAGAAAATGAATTCCGTAAAAATTATCGATGGAAAATTGATTAATATCTGTTGTTATCTCAATTTTTGACTGAATACTTGATTCATGAAAAAAATTGATTTTTTTTTTAAATTTCTCTCTACAAAATTAATACAAATTTCTGTATTGCACCTAATAAACAAACATAATCAAAGTAAATGTACAAAAGTCCATGTCATATACTAATCAAATACATCCAAACAATATTAACAAAATTCTTACAGCTTGATCATCTTTATAATTAGTATCTAACAATACCTCAGGAATCCTTCGCATAATCTTCTCCATTTGTTCCATTCGCCTCTTGCTATGCAATTGTACCCTACAGCTGCGTAATCAAATCGCGCATTTTGTCATGCTCCTGATGGGACACTCCAGGTGGTGGCCTGCTGGAGATTCGAGATTGCTTGTATGCTTTTGCCCATGTACCTAAACTATATATTCGTTCTTTATGGTTAACCCCACCAGCCACCTGCACGTATAAATCATTATCTGACGCAGCACTGCTAGCATCCTCTCCTGGAGTGACTTGACTGTCTCTCTCTTCCCTTATTATCATAAAGTCATCCTTAAATTTACATAGAAAGTATATGATGTGTTAAAGTCAGGTGAATTAAAACTAATCAGCTTTCAAAGTTTATAAATATTGTAAAAATCAATAACAGTCACAGGCTCACAGCTATTGCCTTGGCCCTGTCATTTATCCATCTCTCATGGTCATCTTTACATGTGTGTGTATGCTTGTACACAATCCAATCCAGATCTGATGGGTCTAAGGCCCCATCTACCTACTGCGTGATATGAAACATAAAACAATAGAATTATATTACTCTAAGTATAAAAAAAGGCTTATCATTTTAATTACAAACAAGCATATGATTATAAGTATACTTACCAGCTACCTTGCATGCTCAATATATGGATTTGGACCTCCAGAATGTGAAGGTCCATTATATGTGGACCTGTTCCTCTTATTTGTTTATGTCATTTTCTTCCACTTTTGGTTAGTAGTCCAATGTTCCTTCGAAGCATCATGTACATCTGGAGACAACCAAGAGATATTGCCCTTTCCATTTCTCATCAAATGCATGTGATTTTTAATTATTTTAGAGCCTTTGGACTTGAATGCCTTATCGAAACGTGGCTAGTCCTCTGGCAGGTATTTCTATTTTCTGTAATATTAAACATGATAAAAAGACAACTTATTAAAAATATCAACATTACGGTCAAAAAACTTGTAAATACATAACATTAATATTGTCAAGTTTGAAGGGCTACATTGCCTTAAAACTATCACAGTTGTATAGTTTGTACTAAGACATACAAGATGATAAAGGACCAATTCAAGTGTTGTGATTTAAAGAGCAAGGAAAGAGAGAAATGCAAACTCTATTTATCCTAATTTGGTCACCACAACTTGTGACCTACATCCAGATTGTCAACGTCTAAAACATCTCTTCTACTACAGGTTAAGCTTCATGGGTTCATGAAAAACCTTACAACATTTCCAAAATTACCTAGATATTGGGCTACCACTCAATCTCAATGGGTCTCACTACCTTTAATCAACAAATGAGGATTGGAAAGTGTAAAAAACCAATTCAATCAAAAAGGTTAAGCTGTTATTAGATAAGAGCCTATTTAATAGTTTATATTATACTGTAACAAGCTTCCTCACAAGAGAGCTCATTGGGCTTTAAAGGTGGATGATGCATAAGGCCTAGCCTACCTTTGTTAAGAAATTTAAAAAAAAAAAATGGGGGGCGACGAGGATTGGACTCAGGACACTGAAGCTTTGATACCATGTAAAGAATCAATTCAACCCAAAAGATTAAGCTAGTGAATGAGACTACAGTAATGATTTTATATATCTTTAACACGCCCCCTCACACGAGAGTCCACTAGGTTTGAAGGATGGGTAATGCACACAAGCCCATCCCATCTATCTGTGCTAAAAAACTCCCTAAGACTTGATTAATTATTAATTAAATGGGGGAATTTGAAAATCGAACTTGTGATATTAAGGCTCTGATATCATGTAAAATTTCAATTCAACCCAAAAGTTTAAGCTATTGGATGATGGCTTTTTTAAGGGTTTATATTATTCTCT